GCGCGCATATGTGTATTTGTGTGTGTGTGTGTGTGTGTATTTGTGTGTGTGTGTGTGTGTGTGTGTGTGTGTGTGTGTGTGTGTGTGTGTGCACGCATGTGTATGTGTAGTAGTAGCCTTTAAAAAGTTTTGTTTACTGGTTGCTATCATACACGACCAACACCGTCGAGTGAGACGTGTGTGTGTGTGTCTAGAATGACGTATGGGAAATTGGAACATTTTCCAGGGCGTGAAGGATGGGCCCCCTTACTGATAGCCTTGAATTCCTACTCTTAGTGGATGAAGGTTTGGCATCTAAAATGAATGAAGAAATCTGACCCCCCCCCAATCTCCCCGACACACACAAAATAAACAAACAAAATTAAATAAAGAAACATACAAGGAAAGAAAGAAGGAAAGAAACAAAACCAAAGGAAACAACGATACAGAGACAGTCACATACGTCTGCCTAAGAAACACATAAATTGTCGAACATGACCACAGCAAACAATAGCAGAAACAAGGAAAAGGGAATCAAAACAGTCCCAAAAAAATGTAAGATAAAACTAAACATAGCAAAGTCCCCCCCCCCCAAAAAAAAAACAACCCACCCCCAAAACCCTCCGTAACTTTTATATTATTATGTAAAGAAGAATAAGAAAAACAAACCTAAAAAAACAAGGCTAAAGAAAGAATAAAATAAAATTAAATTAAAAAATAATAAATCCATTAACGTAGAAAATGTGCAAAAAGAAAAAAACAACAACAACCCAAAACAAAAACAGTATGAAACAATCTACAACAGCAACAACAAACCGCATGTATCCCCCCTCTAAACATCCAAACAAGTAAGAACTAACAAAAATTGCTTACTTTTTTTTCCATCTAACTCTCTCGCACCCGCTAAAAAACAAAGAAATAAAAATTTACCCGAAGGACATAACGCATTACAACAAAGAAGGAAGTTTAAAAAGGCTATAAATTCTACTGTTGTGGCATGCTTTGACCTTGCTCACCGTGTGTCAGTGAAAGTGATCCCTCGGTCTGCCCAGTTTTTTTTTTATAGTAGATGTTTTTAAATCCCCATTGGCACAGTTTAGATCATTTTGGAGGCGGGCTTCCGACATTGTCTGTCAGGGCCTGCCCGGGCTGAAAGGGATACATCCCAGCAGAAAGACCGAGATATTCGTTAACAATTTTCTCTCCCCCTCCCTCCCCCCTCCTCGTGAATCGAACTTACGGGATTTCCTGCGTGCAACAGTGTAGCGTCTAATACGGGGTACCCACTACGGCTGGATCGGGCCGATCGCCCGACTCGATCGCCTGAAACTGAAAACAAACACGTTTGTTTTTGAGGCGATCGAGTCGGGCGATCGGCCCGATCGGCCGATCCCAGCCGTAGTGGGCACCCTGTATAACACACCACGAAAGACAGCCCCCAAAGCGCAGATACAGGGGGATCAGCACAAACATTTTACCGGGGGCTCTAGGGGCCTAGAGGGTAAGGTGTTCGCCTCTCATTCAAAGGTCCAACCAAAAAATTTTTCTTCTCTAACATTGTCTCCATTCACCTCCTTTCCTGCTCTCTCTAGCAATGTCCTGTCGTCTGCTTTCGTCTCACCTCCTTTGTCCCCTCCTCTAGGCTCCTGACTCTTTCTGCAGCCTTTCTTCTGCTACTCGTTGGCTCCTTCTTACTGCAGTCTTTCAGACACGCCCCTGATCTTCTGGTAGGAAAGATCTACAACTAGCCATCTCGGACAAGGGCGAGTAATCTCGGAGGGCCCGTGTGCAAGTTGCGCACGTTGAAGATCCCTTGGTGGTCTAAAATCGACAAGAGTAGGCTTCGGCCGCTACCACGGCAAACTTCAAAATTTCCTACCAACTGAAAAGGTTTAATGTGTCCCGCGCGCTCATATATTATGCAGTTGCGAGCGCCGTAAAACATTTACTGTAAAAAAGCCCATTTAACGAAGAGGGTGAAGTGGTATCACGAGTACCTCTTGATGAGGCATGTTTTATAACTCATGCTGGCTTCTCTTATCACTCTGTTGCGTCATCATCAACTTGATCATAATGTTGAATTTACCTCGCCCCCCCCCCAAAAAAATAACCCAAAAAAAACACACCAAAAACAAACTAGTGAATTTAGTCTTTTTATCATGCTTTATTTTTACTACGGGTTGATAAAAATGAGAAGAAATCCATTTAGAAAAAAAAATCACACAGCATTCGAATAGCTCTGACACGTCTCGAACAACTGTGAATAGCGCAAAAATCGTGAATGTCGAATAGGGAAATCAGCTCTAATTTACATCCGCCATTATTA